CCTCCATGTCGAACGGCTCCGCTGCCGTTGAATACGCGGCCTTGGCCGCCCCGCAGAAGTGGCAGACGATGGTGAGGTGGCGGCAGAAGTCGAAGTTTGGGCGCCGGCGATGATGAAGACGAAGAAGAAGGCGAGGAGGCGGCAGTGCTGGTGGTCAACTGGGACTCCTTCCACGGGTAGGGGAAGGGCGGACGGTCCAGGCGTCGGTAAAGGGTCTTCTTCTGGCCCGTCTTCTGGTTCTCGCACCACACGGCCACGGCGTACTTGTTCTTCCAGTCGGTGACGTAGGCCATGTCCCACAGCTCGCTCGCCACGCCAAGGTCCTTGCAGCACCGCACCAGCGCCTGCGACTTGACGCCCTCAAGCGCCGTCGCCGGCCCCGTGAACGACGTCAGCCTGCACAGAACCACACACGACACACACACGACACACACAATGGGTTAGGCGTGTGGCAGGATGTGGTGGGTGGTGAGTGTGTGCGTGTGCGGTCGCCGCGTACATCTCGCTCTCGCCGCTGGCCTGGGCGACGAAGCGGCCGTGGCAGAAGAGCGCCCACTCGCGGGTGAGGAACTTGTCGCCGTGCGTGGCCGGGCCGCGCGGCATGAGCGCCCAGCCGCCGGGGCCGAAGGCCGAGTTGAGGATGCGGCGGTACATGATCTCGGGCAGGTAGACGGTGCCGTCGGGCTTGATCTCGACGATGTTGGGGTCGACGGGCGCCACGAGCCGGTCGGCCACCTTGCGCGGGAAGGCCCGCGTGGAGATGCCGTCGAACGAGGTCTCGGTGTGTCGTGGGGCAGCAGGGGCGGCGGCGGCATTGCCGAAGAAGGGTGAATATTGTGTGGTCTCTCCATCATCGGCGTAATCCTCATCTTCATCATCCTCTGTTTCATCATCTTCTTCAGCTCCACCTTCATCGTTCATCGCCATTTGGGCCTGAACCGACGTGTCGATGTGTAAGAGCAAGATTAAGGCTAATTGTGGAGTTGGAAGAGCGTACATCAACGAAAGGGAAGGCACGACGTCGTGCATAGCCGCGCTGCTGCAGAGCGCCTAGCCTGAGGGGCCTGACTGCACTTGAATCGGAGCTGAGGGGCACCGACAATGCAGTCAGGCGAGTCGCACCACTGCTCGATCGTGACGTCCTAATTACCGCCGATGCTCCTCGATTCAGTCCGCCGCGCATCATCGTTCGTTGCATCGACACAACAAGATGAAACCAGCCTACGTTCCACTTTTCGTTGTTCCTCGAAGTGCAATTTCTTAGGTTTCCTAAACTCTTTCGAAACATTTTCAATTCCATTTCAAAAAGACAGGAAAGGTGGTTTTTTTAATTTGGACAAAGGAAAGAAAAAGAAAGATGGAAGGCGAGCGCGGCTCATCGTCACCATCCGGCGCAGTGTCAATGCAGCCTCCACCGCCTCGCTCGTCTGCGCAGGGCGGATTCAAAGCACCCCCGGCGCGAATCGCACCGAAATCAAAATTGAATGACCCCAAGGGGAAGGCCAAAATCGAAGAAGATGAAGACGCCCCCGTCGTGGTCGAATCCATCGATGAATCCAGCGATCATCGTCAGCGCGAAGAAGATGACACCAAAGATGATGAAGAGGCACCGCCCCCCGCCCCCGCCCCCTCGCCAGCCGTCGGCGAGTACGTCGTGCCCGAGTGGGCCGCGCGGCCCAAGCACGCCTACGCGCTCGAGGTGGTCAAGGGCGGCGTCCAGGTCGAGCGCTTCGACGTCAGCGCCAAGGACCACTTCGTCGTCGGCCGGGCCGAGGGCTGCGACCTGGTCCTCCTCCACCCCAGCATCTCCCGCCGCCACGCCGTCATCCAGCACCGCGCCGGCCGCACCATCACCAACAACGACAATGCCCACAACGACGATGATGACGTCAGCAACGACGACGACGACGATGCCGTCGACGGCGGCGGCGTGTTCGTGTACGATCTGGGCTCGACCCACGGCACGTTCGTGGGCAAGCGCCGGGTGGGCGCGCGGCAGTACTGCGAGCTGCGCGTGGGCGACATGGTGCGCTTCGGGGCCTCGACGCGCATGTTCGTACTCACCGCGCCCGACCAGGAGTCCGTGCGGCAGGAGGAGGAGCGCCGCCTCGTGCGACGCAAGCGCGCGGCCGAGGAGCGCCGCCGCTACCCCGAGCACCACCGCCAGCAGCAGCTCGCTGCCCTTCGTCGCGCCGGCGGCGGCGGCGGCGATGGCGACGGCGACGATGACGACGACGATGGGTGCGGGTGGGGCATGGGCGACGACGCCCAGGAGGAGGAGGAGATGGAGGAGGAGATGGAGCGGATGGACCACCCGATCGGCGACGCCGAGGACCTGTTCCAGGGCACGACGGCCGACGCCAAGGCCTTCATGAAGCGCCACCGGCAGGAGGAGCGCGAGAAGAAGCTGCAGAAGCTGCGGCGCAAGGGCAAGAAGGGCCAGAAGGAGCTGCTCGAGCAGCAGAAGGCGGCGGAGGAGGCGGCGGCGGCGAAGAAGCTGAAGAAGGAGCAGGAGGAGGAGCTGGCCAACGACAAGGTCGAGGAGGCCAAGCTGCGCGAGGAGGAGCGGCTGCGGCGCGCCGTCGTCGAGCAGTGGGACGAGTCCTTTGACGACGCCGACGATTTCTATGACCGAGCGGGCCGCACCAGTACGTCCCCGTCGTGTGCGCGTGCGGTCGTGTGTGTCGCACGGGAAAAGTTGATGGTGTGCACTCATTTCCTTCTTCTTCTTCTTCTTCTTCGCTTGTGGTGGGCATCGCAGGTGCACCGGGCAAAGGACGTGGCGGCGGAGCTCCTCGACGCGCGGAGACGGTCGACAGCCTCAAGGCCAAGCTCGCGGTGATGCTTGGCCAGAAGGAGATGGTCGCTCTCGACATCGAAGAGATGACCAAGAAGAACGCCGCCGGTACCCCGACGCACGACACGCACACGACACGCACGCACCTACACCGACTCACCACGTGCGCGTATGTTTTGCTTGGCTGGCTGATAGGCGGGAACGAGGAGGAGGACGAGCTCGACAGCTTCATGCGCGGTCTGTCCTCGGACATGAGCAAGAAGGAACAGAGGAAGAAGGAGGACCTGCTCAAATCCCTCACCGAGGAAATCGCCCGAGTCGAGCGGCTCATCGAGGTGCGTGTGCTGTGAGTGCCGTGCGTGCCGTACAGGAGAGAAGACTTACGCGTGCGCGTGCGGAACGGAAATCATAGATTGCGCAGCCGGCGATCGACAGAGTGGCGGGAGGCAAGCCGGCGGCGAAGCGGAGCCCAGCGGGCCTCGCGGCGGAGGTGGAGCGGATCAAGCAGGAGTACCTGGCGCGCATGAACCGCGACAAGCAGAAGGACGCGCTGAAGAAGGAGCGCGCCAAGCGCAAGCTGCAGGAGATCAAGGAGCGCGAGAAGCAGGAGGAGGAAGGTACACGTTACCACCACCAACGTTCTCCTTCGTTTTTTTCAACTCCTATTCATCACTCTTTTTAACTCCTATGTCCCCACAACAGAGCGAAAGGTGAGCGCCGCGTCGGTCTTGCAAGGGGAGCAGCTGACGACGGAGGCCGTCGCGGGTGACGGGGCTGGGTCGGCGAAGGTCAGCAAGCAGGACGACGAGGAGAGCAGCGACGACGATGGGGCCGAGGAGCGAAAGAACGAAGACGAGTTCGTGATGGGAGACGACTCTGGCGCGGCGGACCGGCGGCGGGAGCGCAACAGGAAGAAGCGGGAGAAGAAGCGCGAGCGCGAGCGCAAGAAGCAGAAGTTCGACGACGAGGCGGTGATGGACGAGGAGCACCAGGAGCAGGGCTACGGCTACTCCGAGTGGGTGCCCCCATCCAGCGCCCAGCACTACACCCTCTGATCATCGACAATCACATCATCAACTACTTCGATTGACCGTCGCGCTGAACTCGTGCATTCATTCAATCCCGTACGCGTGCGTTGCGTGTGTGTCGTGTCGTGTGTCGTGCGGTGCGGAGAAGGTGCTATTAAGGGAGCCTCATGTGGGTGGGGTCGTTGAGGCGGACGTAGTGGTGGGCCTTCTCGTCTTCGGGATCCTGGGGCACCAGGTCGAAGCCCTTGGCGAAGAAATCGACGAAGAGCGTGATCAGCGCCAGCACGAACGTGAGCACGTAGGTCGTGATCACCGTGTCCTGCTCGGGTCCTGTGTCGTGCGTCGTGTGTCGTGAGTTGTGAGTTGCAGTCATCCTAACAGTTCGCAAACCCGGCTGCGTGCGAGAAGAAGCAACACGCACCACCCTCCAACAGGAAATTGACGCCGGTGAGGAAGGTCGTCACGGCGCTGGCGAACACCAGGGTGCCCATGCGCCCGTGCCACCGCAGGAAGCGCTGCACGGGTGAATGACGGTGAGGTTGGCCACTGCCCAGAGAGTAATCCCAACATAATGGAGCACACACCTTGTTGTTCTTGAAGAGGACGAACAGCTTGAGGGTGCCCGCCACGCCCTGCAGCAGCGAGAAGAAGAGCACGCCCAGGCCCAGACGACCGTGAGTCCTGCAACGTGTGTGTGTTGGGTTCGAGGTGGGCGTGAGCGCGGCGATCCGTAGGGACTTGTTCGCTGATGATCGTCAACAAGGGGAGAGGTGCAGTGTGCGGGGTCACGTACGTGGTGAAGTGCTCGAAGTCAGAGTTACGCTTGTTCTGAACGATGATGCCGAAGCCGGCCATGGACAGGCACACCCACAGGCCCGACAGCAAGCCGTGCACCACCCGCAGCTTCGCCCTCGACACTCCCGCGTACGACGTGTACGCCCGCACTCCTGCGTTCAACACGGCCGACATGTTGTGTCAGCCCCGATAAAGTGTGCTCATAGTTCGTTGCATTGCAAGCGGGGCGAGGGTACCGTGGGAAAGGAAGAGGATGACGCCAATGGTCATGAGGACCGGGTGCCAGAAAAACAGCTCGTCGGTGTCTGTGCTCCGGCTGACGGCAGCGATGACGATGGACACGACCACCACCTCGAGCGCCAGGCACAGCAGCCCGAGCGCCCAGCGAACCACCAGCTCCGACTTTGTCATCGTCTCCTCCGCCATGGCCTGTATTGTGTTGTGTGTTGTGTGCCGCTGGTGCTGTTGAATGAAAAGGTCGTTCGCACGCACGCACACACCACTGATATCAGTGCAATCGCCGTTCTCTCGGATCGAGAAAGTGGTGTCGTCTTTTCCACCGGTGGTTTGCGGGACAATCACCATTTTTGGAAAATAAGTGAATATGCATTTTTCTTTATGTTATTCAAAAAGAAAATCAGGGAAAAGATTATACACAAGAAGAGATGTGGGTTGTTGTGGCGCTGGTGGTGTTGGTGGTGTTGGCTCTGCTGCGACTGGTCACTATCCTGCCCCTGCATCGCGGAGAGGCTTCTGACTTTCGTGCCGCGGCCGAGAGGAAGAAGAACGAAGACGCGACCACACGCAGCCCTGTCAGCACCCTCATCGTCCTAGGCTCTGGTGCCGATCTCTCCCTATTCGTTTCTGAAGAACCTCACCTCCCATCTTTCCATCTGCAAGATTGATTCCATCAATTGATTTTGCTGCTGCGCCAGGAGGCCACACCGCTGAGATGTTGCGGCTGGTGGGGAGCCTGGACCCGGACCGATACCAGCCGCGGTTGTATGTGTGGGCAGCCACCGACGCACACAGCCAGGACAAGATGCAGAAGTTTGAAGCCTCTTTTGGTACAGCCCCACGACGTGCACCTGCCTTCTTCGCCACAAAGGCAAGCAAGCTTCTACGTGTTATGCCTCAACCCCCCTCTTCACAGGTGGAGTGGGGCAGACGCGTACGGCCGTGATCCCGCGTAGTCGGGAGGTGGGCCAGTCCTACTTCTCATCCCTGTTCACCACCGCCTTTGCCCTTCTTCACGCCGTCGGCATCGTGCTCCGCTCCTCGCCGCAGCTGGTACCACCCGCCATGCTTGTGACACACACACACACACACAACCACACACCACACACGCATCTGGCTGCTCTCTTGCCACATCACTGATCCTGCGTGTGTGTAGATCCTGTGCAATGGTCCCGGCACCTGCATTCCCATCTGCGCTTCGGCCTACATTCTCAAGGTGCGCTCTTCATTGATTTTCAACACGACACCACGACACACACGACACACGACTACGCCACGACACACGGGCGGTGGCTCAAGGTGTGATGGTTCTCCATACTTGGCGCAGTTCTTCGGGCGGAAGGTGAAGATCGTGTACGTGGAGAGCATCGCGCGAGTCGAGACGCTCTCGCTGTCGGGCAAGCTGCTCTACCGGACGGCCGACCACTTCCTCGTCCAGTGGCCCCAGCTCCAGGCCAAGTACCCGCACGCGCAGTTCCTCGGCCGACTGTGCTGACGTGCAGAGCCTGTGCCGGCCCTGTTGCAATGCTGACGTCAGCACAATTTTTATTTAATTTGTGGGCTTTTCCGCTTCGTTCCCTCCAAAGTGCAGCACTAAAGGGTCGTGAGGTAGGTCGAAGACGAAGGTGAAGCGGTTAGACGTTGGGGTCTCTTGGTTCTGTCGATCGGCTGCAAGCTTGTGCCAACACGAGGTAGAATTCTAATTCGAAGCGAAGTGAAGGAGTATTGCATTTCGCAAGCTACATTCGAATCCTCGAACCGGCAGAAGATGGCGACGGCAATGGCGAGCTATGGATTCGAGCGGATGCAGCACATGAGCGACGACGATTTGGAGGAGTCTGCGTCGACGAGGAACATGATGTCAGCTTCATATCCGTCCCCCACACCTGCATCGCGAAAGAGTCGAAGTGGAGCGGCTGCTTCGAAATCGCAAGACATGAAGATGGTCGAAATCAAACACGGCAGTTACGATCCGTCGGCTCAGAGATGGCCGCACCAGGACGGCGGCGAGGGCCACCACCGCAGAACGGTGACCGCGAGCACGACAGCGCCACGAAGGGACTACCTGCGCGAGGGCCACAGCCCAGGCGAGAGGGACCACCTGCTCACACAACCCACCTCGCCCGGCCGCCACGCGCGGCCTCACCATCATGCACACTTCCCCTCCACTTCTTCACCACCTTCGTCAGCCACGTCGACGACCACCACCGTCACGTTCACCATGACCACCTCGGTCAGCTACTCGTCTTCATCGACGTACTCCTACTCGGCTCCCTCCCCGCCCGTGGCGTCGAGTCCCGCTACGTTGCCATCTTCATCTTCGGGTTCGCTGGCGTCGTCGCCGCCCATGCTCCTCGTCTACCCGGAGTCGCCATCGTCAACGTTGAAGAAGAGCAAGAAGCAGCATCATCATCATCACCATCACACCATCACCACAGCAAGACGAAGAAGCGGGTGACGTGGGTCGACGAGTCGGTGGAGGGCACGCGCCTCGAGGAGGTGATCGAGGTGGAGCGCTACCTCACACAGCACGGCTCGCTAAGCTGGTGGCTCGAGCTCATGTGGGACAACAAGCCCTACTTCCTTCTCCTTCTGTGCATCGCCCTCCTCTTCCTCGCCTCCCTCGTCTTCATCCTCTACAAGCTCGTCTTCTAAGCTTCCACTCTACTTCCTCCACACCATCATCTTCGTCATGTCGTGTAAAAACTTGTAGATACCAACCACGTAAGAAAAAAGAATCGAAAGCAGCTCTTCTTGTTCTTCTAGTCCTCCTCCTTCTCCTTCTCCTTCGGAGCCTTGCTGCTGGCGGCGGCGGCGTCGGTGGTGGCGGTCGCGGCACCTTGAAGGAAGGCCTGGAGGAGGCCGCTCTGAGTGTGGAGCCGAGTGCGCAGTGCTCGCAACAGCTCCAGGTCCTCGTTGGCCTCCGGGAACAGGCCCACAAAGTAGCTCAACCGACCTGTCGTCATTGTTGTGAGCCAATCGCGCCAGCACTCCACGTGTGCGTGTCGTGTCGTGTGCGTGCGTGCGTGCGGTGTCTAGATTGATCAGGTGACGTACCGGCCCACTGCTCAATCATGAAGAGCAGCACCTTGGAGCCCTCTCGCACGTGCGGGCTGCTGGGGTGTTGCTGCTTGGACTTGCCCCACTTGTGGATGAGCGCGTTCACGTCGTACTGCTTTTGCAGGCCCCTGTTACAGCCGACGAAGATGACGACGATGAGCCATCACGATCACGATCACGATCACAGGGAGAAGGGCAGCGGAGGCGCGTACGAGAACAAGAGGTGGGCCAGGCGCAGGGCGTTGCCGCCGGTCTGCTTCTTGAGGCCGTAGAAGCCGAGCTGGTCGGTGATGTAGTGGAGCTCGAACGACACTCGGTCCATCCATCGCTGCCGCTCCTCGTTGTCGGTCTGGTTGCTGATGTTGACCAGCGCCGCGCCGAGCGGGTTCCGCTGCTGCTGCTCACGCGACGTGGCCTCGTCCAGGCTCATATCCTCCGGCTGCTCCCCTCGTCGTGGTCCCGGGTGGGTGAAGAAGAGGTTCAGATCGCGCATGAAGCACACGATCCGCTCCTCCAGCGTAAAGAACGGATACGCGTTCTTCGCACCTGCGTGAAGAACACACCACAGAAAGAAAGAAAAGAAAGAAAGAAAGCGAAGAACGAACGAAAAGAACGAAAGCGAAGAGCGAAAGAGGTCAGCACCGGTACTGGCGAGTGGCATGGGAGGAATGCACGTACCCGGGGAGGTGTAGAAGACGTCGGAGGGCAGGTGCCCGAGCACGAGCCGGATGGCGACGAAGCAACGTTCGGTGTAGCGCTGGGGGTGGAAGCTGTAGACGGTGATGTGCTCCTCGATGTACTTCTCCTTGAGGAAGAGACGTCGGTTCTGGTGGATGGCCGCCATGTTGGGTCGCACCAGCACCCGGGCCGTACCGCCCTCCGGGATCTCGCCCTCGTCCGCGTCCACGGTAAAGAACAGGCAATCGTTGACCACCCGATACCTGCCGCCACCAAAAAAACAAAGTTAGTGCGTGTCATGTCGTTGTGTGCTGTCGCTTTGATGTAGTTGGTGCGTACTTGTTGGGTCTGTTGGCCGTGTTTTGGAAAATGATCTCCTTGGCCTCATCGGCCAGGTCCACGCTCACCACGGAGTCGGTCCCAGTGCCTGCTCGAGGGCCTAGTGAGTGAACTGAAACACACGACGCAACGCACCGCACCGCACCGCACGGGGCCGAGAGAAGGAGTGTGTACCGGCGGCGAGGCAGTTGAGGCTTCCACGGTAGGCGAGGTTGTAGGTTGACAGCTTGAGGGACGACGGTCGCACGCGCGCCCGCAGCTGGATGGTCGCCTTGTGGTCCTTGA